GCAAACGATGGTTCGGCATACGTAACACATGTCCCAACCAACGCAGCTTCTGGTGCTGGACACATTCTTCAATCGAAGTACCAGTTACACAACCGAAAACTCGCTTTCTAACTGCCCCATTACGGATTCGCCGACACCAACTCACAGGAGTTATGGTTCTGAGACAACGATTGTCGAACACCTGAAGACGTCTCAGTTCCGCTGCTCGAATGGGCCAAGTCTCACGGCCATACAACAAAACAGCCCGTACTAAAGCTTGATACACACGTCCCTTCAGATTCAGGGATAAACCATTCTGATGGAAGAAAGCTTATCCTGAAAGCTTTCTATTCCTATCATTTATTCGTCCTCTGTTCTACCCAACAAAGATCCAATTCATGTACCGTAAAAGTTACCAAACAAAGGGATGGATGACAGTTACTCGTCCAGCTTTACTTGTTTCATTTCTGATTAATTGCCAGAACAACCCACTAATCTCATTTACATACCAATGTGGTTTTCACGGGAGACTTGCCTGAAACCCAGCTGAACCTGTCGTTTATGAATGTACTGCACAAAGGCCACCTTATTTTTCAGTTGCAACGATATTTGCGATGTCGGAGTATGTTTTATTGAATGAAACTACTTACAAGATTGATGAAAACTAAACGAAAGCAGCCCACGAACGGTTCTGCCCTTATTGCAGTCCAACAGATATGGGTTGTCGAAGAGTTTTCACTACCATTAAGAGTCGTTTAATTCAGGAAAACTTATTAATTTCCCCTTCTTCATTTCAACCGGTTCTTATGTCAGCTGCATAGAAAAGCGTTGTAAAAACCTGTGTCTCTCACGAACAGTGGGATTTCGACCTGTTTTTAGGAGCCGTAAAATTCATCCAGGGCGTAGCAGTCATGTCAGCAGCAGACTGAAAGGTCAATGGGCCGTAGAATCCTGGATAAGAGTAGTGTGATGTCGCGCGTATGGATGATACGATACAAAGACTGTAATAATATCGCCAAGTAAAAATTAACAAGACTTATTATTTATGCTTATCAAAAGCAAACTCAAATGCTGCTGATAACATTTTCAAACTGTCTGAGGATTATGTTACTGCTACTACCTCTTGGTGGCCGCCCTTTGGTGTCCACTGTTTAATTTTCGCTACAGTAGTAAGGCGGCTCTACTGTACTCCCGATATACATTTACTCATAGAAAGGGTGACATTCCCCAGCATTTCACGGCTTTCCTCGTCAGATTCGAATAGTAATGGTTAGGGTATATTCCTTAGCCACTCGTGTTAGAACCAGGCAAACACAACGGTAGACCTTTGATTAGAGTTGCGCTGGCCGAAGTAACATTCACCTACGGTTGCACTTCAACACTGTAACAAGTCGGCTACAAGTTTGAACTGGAAGAACACCCAGTTGCAACGCAAACCACAAAGAAAAAAATAATGGTATGGGCCACAAAACGCGTGTCTCGATGAAACCTTCGAACGAGTCATGTTCACCTTCCTGCGTCTAAATCCTGGCTTTTTAAAGTGACACTGGCTTGGTTGATAATCCTATTTGACCAGCCTAGAGTTATCAGATAAACATGATGGTCCATCAGACATATGGGTGTTCGAATGCGTTTCTGAGTTTCACATATCACACGAACACATGGGCTTACTGCATACCTGGCACAGAATTCCTCCCTTAGGGAAAAGCTTTTCGGAGTGTTTGGAATGCTTCCCTGCGTAAAGTAGTCTTCATGAACAGAATCGCAGTCTTCTGTAAGGAAAGGGTGAAATTTCTGGTGATTTCAGCAATCATCCTGTGTGGAACTGTAATGTTCCCCATCAAAGTTACCAAAATGGAATTAGAAAAAAACAATCTCCTTTAACACTCAGATGTGGAAGGAGAATAAATACCAAGTGCAAATTCCATGCACGGGCAGGAAGATCTATTTTTCTATTAAAAGCAGTGTATTTTATGCGCAGCAAAGAATCCACTGAAATTTATCACATAAAATATTGTGATGTGCAGCAATTTAGTAGGATAAGTAAACCATTCGGCTAACAGAAGCAGTAATTCGTAATTTGGCTGTGAGACTTGGATGCGCGTGTTTCCATACAGAACATAAAACACTGGATAGTAGTGGTCGTTTATCGTGATTTAGCATAGTGCATTATCATATTGTCCTACGGTTGGAATAATCGATGAAAAGGAGCCATCGAATACTAGAGATCACAGTATTTTTTCTAGCATCTGTTATCTCAGCTGAAGGTCGTAAATTGTTCATTTGAGCATTACATTAACTGGACCGAAAAATTTGGAGGGTACAGCAATCATACGGCAGTCAATGATTGGCTCAGGGAGTTGGATATAAAGATTTTTTTCAAAAAACGACGCATTTGAGCAGATCACATAATGTGGAGTGTTGTCTACCTATTCCTTATTGCAGACATTGGTCAGTATCACTATTTGAGATCATTTAGCCTTAGCGTAACAGACTGGAGTTCATCTTGTCTTTCCTTCATTCTAGTCCACTCAACAGGAAAGTATTACTTTCGGCTTTATGGCGATAAGAAGCTCAAAAAGTGCTTACGTGAGTTATTGATGCTCTTTCCGTTTATATTCCATATGTCTTTTTCCGTACTTATCCCATGGACGCGATACTATGTTCCTTTTTTGTGCAGACATGAACAGATTTAAATCCATCCCTTCAACCATGTATGTTTCATAATGACAAACTGTGTGAAGTCAACAATTCGCTCTCTCCTCTCCAGCTGCATCACTAAATTTCACAAAACTTACGCAAATCATTGCAACCAAAGAATGTCATCGAAAAGGACCGATTGGACTATCTATCTGTGTGAAGTCAACAATTCGCTCTGCACTCTCCAGCTGCATCACTAAATTTCACAAAACTTACGCAAATCATTGCAACCAAAGAATGTCATCGAAAAGGACCGATTGTCTTGGACGATCTATCGTGTCTGAATTTTAACCCGATGTCAAACGGACTGTTTTCCTAAGAGAGCTCCGCGCGCACATGTTCAGTCGGCCAGGCGCTTGATTTCGCTCAATGCGGACATGTTTGGGCTTGTACAAGGTAGCTCAAATTCTCACAACTGTACACGTGAACACGTTCAGGATGTAGCGATCCCTTTTATGAGCAGAAGTTTTCCTGAACGACAGACTGACACGATTTGCACGACAAGTCACATAGGAATTTCAAAAGCAGCTCACTATACACAGTTCCCAGGCATGGTATGATACTGACTGAATTTCAGATCACATGCCCACAATAAATGCAAGTTTCTACTGTGTCAAAGAATATGAACAATAAATGATCATGATTAACTTACGCATAATGCTTTCGAACGGCACACTTAAAATTTAAGTTGCTCGGTTCTCTAAGCGCTTCCCGTTAATCTGAGACGCTGTTCCAAGGTCACGCAGAAAACCTGAATCTGTCCGGTCACCTGAGAGCCCCTTTCTTTGTATGTCTGGTTTTTTAACATTTCAAACAATCGCTAGAGCACTCTTGATTATGTCAAGAAAGTGAATGGAATTCAGTCTGGACAACTGCGCTCCTTACTAGCGCATAACCTGTAGTGGTTGTGAACTGGAGTAGTCTAGGCGGTAAATGAGAAATCTCGGCAAAATTTATAACGAACCTCAACAAGATCTTAAAACTTCCCCGTAAAAATAAAACAATGCAAAAAGTGTGGCTGAGGTTCACTGTTGGGTGTTCAGTATGTGGCCGCTTGACCCCATGACAAGGTTGCTGAAAACTCCTCGGCCTTTTGAGTAGTTTGCTTTATGAAAATATACTTCGATGTCTCCACTATCGTGCCAACTGAAGGATGAGGCGGCCTTTACACGGCACATTCGGTTGAAGAATATCATAAACAAGAAATTCGGTTGAGTCTCTCGTAAGAAAAAAGCAAATTGATTTTCAAATGAGTATATTTGTTGGACGCAGTTTAGCTTACGGAATAGAAATATCTACTGAAACAGAACCGCACGGTCAGTGCTACTCCATCTCCCCGTCAATATAACATAAAAATTATATGTTAGAGGCATAAAAAAACTAGCTTTCCTAAACTGTTCGAACGGGTATTTGGGAAATACCCGTTTGGGAAATACTCGCTAAATAAATCACAAATAAAATCAATCGGGGATCCGTTAGAACAGGGGAGCAGATTCATGTTCCTGAAACTGACATGGACGTTCTACAAAAGCCAGAACTCAGTGGAACGAGTGGAGGATCTCGGAATGGATGCTCTACTGGTTTCCGAAGCAAAGAACCACAATACCGGTGGTGTCGTCTTTTTAAAGATACTGAATGTCTACTGCGCAGACAGATCTGCTTTCTGAATCGATTTTTAATTTAGATTTAGTTGCAGTCATGCACATCTCAAAATCTGACGACTAGGTACACGAGTCGTAAGCCAAACGATGCAACCGACTTAAAGGTTATTGGATGAACCGGAGGGTATCGTTTGAACACCCTACATAACCTAACCCACTCAAACTCACTGTGGATGCACTTCATTTCAGTTCCCGCTACTTCTGTGATCTTAGGTGTCTGAGATGAGTCAAACGCTCTGCAGTGGGTCTTGACCAATCTACTGACAGAATTATTTCTCCAGCTACCTTTCGTCCCTAATAATACGCCTGACGAGGCTACAGGAACACGTTTGGATCAAGAAGCACGTTTCTCTTTGCTGCGTTTCGAATGCATACAACGAATTTCCTTACTCGAATGTACTCCCTACTGATAGTGATGGATGAGAATGAAAAGATCTGTTAATTTTTTCTGCTTAGTCGAATGCATCAGGGACTATGGCAAACAGAAGGAAGTCTTGGAGTGTTCCCGTAAGTTGTACAATATTTTTTTCACTTGTGTCTTTTTAAGTTTCGTTCAAAGTAACTTATCGCTTTGTCCATTTGTATTAAGTCAAGATGATCTACACCAAGTTTTCGGACAAGCATCACGCTAGTTACCTTCACCAAAGACCAATACTATTATAAGCCGTATATAGGAAAATTCACAGTGTATTTCCTACCTTGTTTTAGTCGGTACTTTGGCCTGAACTGAAATGGCAGTTGTATATGACATAGGTTGTTCTTGACTTGTAATCCTCAGCTCTTTTGATTTATCCCTTGTCTTTTTCCAGCCATCCTCTACCTGACTTTACCTAACAACACCAAAGAAAATCATTTCACACTGGCCTTTAACCTTCCAAAGTTAAAAACACTTTTGGAAAGGATAATGTGGTTCCTCGAGTACGAGCTACTCTATTTGTCCAGCTGATCCGACCGGAAGTAAGGGATTTAAGAGAAATACGACTGACTCGAAATATTTACTTTGAACATAACGTTCCTGTACTCTAATGTTGATCATTGCGTAAGTGAGGATGAGGCTAACTTTCTCGCGGAGAGCATCCAACAGAGGTTGTTTTATATATTACTAAGTATTACGTGCGATATATCACACTGCATACAACCTCCGGAACGCTTTTTTGGAACAGGGTACTACCCCCCCCCCANAAAAAAAAAAACGATCTCCTGCAAGAGAGGTCGTCAAGCTGAGATCACTTCATGTTGGTTCCATGCAGTTTGGTCTTGAATCAAAGCCCTTCAAGAGACCACCCTCAGCCCCCAAACAAAGCTTACTCTACACATTTCCTGAGTGGGAGACGCACTCTCCCCTACTAAAGGGTATGATCATAAATCTCCTCTACTGGACTCTTCTGCACGTTCGGTTTTCTAGGTAGTATGAGGAGGTTTGAGATTTTTCAGCGAAGATCTCTCCCTGTAGGTGAAGCCAATCTACGCTAAAAAGCGTGGAAGCACTGTGCAAATGATTATCATGTATCGGAAGCAGGTACGATTAACGGCTATACGCGACCTGAAAACGAGCGCATGAATCCCCAGCTATGACGCGAGCCAAACCACTCCTGGCGCAGATATATATATATATATATATATCGTTTTTCGGGCAACCTTGGAGAGCAATAAATCAGTTATCGCACACAAAGTCTGACTGACCAATAGAAAGGAGGCGCGGTCATTTTGGATTGAGGTGCAACATGACGGAAACGGCGCGAAATTCAAAAATTCGAGATTTTAGAAAAGTAAACTGGTAATAACTCGACAAATAAACGGTGTTTGGGGATACTGACATTCCCAACAATGTTTCATCCTTATTTGAAATCAGTAGGATTGCCCGACCACCCGACTTGTAGTTTGAACACCTAATCGTTTGGCCACGAGTGGCCGATCAGTAGTGTGCTTAACTCGCTCTTAGACAGGATATAGCACGAGTCGTCCTCCAATCACTGTATTCGCATAACATGGTCACGTTTTGAAGTCAGTCAATACCTGACCGTGTGATCCACTTTCTGTGATTGGGAGATGAGTGGTACCACATTTTAAGTGCGACCTATTGACAGTGCTTATCAGCCTCTCACGGCCACACGACCGACAGTTCAACTATTAGCCTGGAAGTCGTGGGTTCGATGCGAATTAGAGTTTTGTGAGCTGCGTACAGCTGATGATCTCCAATAAGGACAAACTGTTGTACAGAACATCTGGACCTTTCATGATAGACTAGCTTACTTTGCAGGACAAAATATTGGTTGATAATCGGATTGCAGCAAAGTTAATCACAAAGAGTTTGCGGCCCGAACAAGATTTTTTGTTCGTATGAAATGAAGCCACCCCTGTCTAAAATAATCCTCTATCAGAAGAGACTGTCTCAAAAAACACTCCTAGCCAGTTTTCGTAGCTAGTCTCTAGCTGTAGTTCACCTTTCTGTCTGCTTCAAAAGGAGACTACAATTGTTACGGGAAAGCGCCACATCCCTGAGAATTGAAAAACCAAGTTGTTTTTTAGTGTTAGTACGTCTGAGGCAGTCACTAAATACTGTGAAGGTTTTCCCATATCCAATTAAAAATCGTGGATTTAGCCTCTAGATTCCAGTACAGTACAGTTCAATAAAGTAAGACAGAGTATAAACCAGGAGGATGCATCAGCAACATCGTCTGTCAAGCATCTAAGCTACTTCATGGTCTAGTGCCCTTGATGGCCGACGTCCAACAGAATATCACGGCACCCAAGCTTTTCCAGAACATGCGAATCGCCTATAGTCTGGAAACCTGCATGATCAACTAGGCTTACAGTGTGTTCACACATCCTCGAGACTACAGTCGCCCGTCGGGAGAAAGGTCATTTTTCGTAGTAACATTTGACAATCTTCGAAGGACTTAATTCCCAGAAGAGAATTCTCTTGTGTAGTCTCCGCCGGGAAGTAAGTGTCTAAGGTGAACCGATGTCAGTTATCAGACGGCGAGTTAGCGAACGGGTATGCATGTTTCGTGTCGTAGGAAATTTGAGGAAATGCAGAGGACACCCTACTTTTGCACATTATTACTGGGTTGGTTCTGAAACGCATAAGCACCCAAAATCACTGAGAAATCCACTATCATGGCTTTAGAAAAGGACACTGTTAATTGTTTGGTAGTGAATTTCTTTTGGAGACACCTGGACGCTGCTGATTGAGTGCGCTTTGCCTAAAAGTAAATCTGTTTTCACATCACTGGTTAAAACCAAGTGAATTCAGCGATTTTGAGTAAACTATTTACACGTCATTGTTTCCAGTAGTTTTCCGCAAAAAGGAAGCATCATCGCTCAATCGCTCAATCGCTGGGTGTCGCTCACACGGTCGTGCACCATTCGCTCGCCTGTTACGAGCCCGTATTTCATCTGCCCGTGCAGTGTTTGCTTGCTGGAGTATCCCTCACTTATCGTGAACATCATACCAGTGCTCATTACTCCTTCCTACCCAACCTGGCCACTGTCACTCCGTTGTGTGATTTGCTCACTGCGACAACTGAGTGGATGTGCGTGCATGCGCACTTACTTCTTCTTACCCAAACTGGCCACTGCCAGTCCGTTGTGTGATTTGCTCATTGCGACAACTGAGTGGATGTGCGTCCATGCGCATCTAGTTAACAGGGTCAACAAAGGCCTGACGATAAGGAAAAACAAGGGGCGCCAAAAACATACCGAAAAGGGCGTGTGGTGAACAAGGTACAGTGAAATCACTCGAAGACCTCAATTGGGGAGACCATTGATCTGGCAGAAAAGCAACCATCTCAACTGGGATTTGCGACATCATAAAATGTTGACGATGGCACCGAAACATAACCCATAATGATAACCTGTTTTCCAGCTTGCTTCACTGACGGTCGATAAAATCGTAGAACTGTTATCAACTCGGGTAAATGCACGAAAATAAGAAAATTGATACCTGAAATTGTTGGACTGCTTTGTGGTATCCATTCATAGGGGGACATTTGATGGTATTTTCTGACCACGCTGCCTCTAAAATTCTAACACCCATCATAACCACATTGATGGCATTTTTTCATCCCCTCATTTTGATTCATAGAGTACACCAAACCAGTTTTTGGTTAATGGAGTATTCCACCTTCGTACACTTACTGTTTTGTACTACATAGGGCAGTCTAAATCGAGTGCGGATCACGATTACACGTTAGAAGGTTCGTCAAACTCAAGAGAAAGAACAGGACTTGGCTTTTGTAGGCATGAGACCTGACGTAGAAAAGGTCGCAGCTGCGTGCGGTTAGCGTGGTACTAATATAGGGCATTGTAAAGCCAAGCTGGCCATTCCATTGAGCTTCGACGCCGTACAGATCTATGGTCCACCCAGCACCAACGTGTGCATTATCGCCTTACCTAGGTTGAAGAAGCTTCATATACATGGCGTGGTATTGCCGTCGTTAGAGATCGATACTTAAAACCATTTGTCTTCAGCGGAGGAACCATCATTCTCTTGGAATGTATTTTGAAATCCTTGAGTGAGGGATAACACCTAACAGGTAGTCATATTGGAGTAAGGGGACAAAATCACCTAACGCAGCATAGGAGAACAATTAAGCCTGATGCCACATCCATTTAAGTGTACCGAAGATGATCGCATGTATTTGTTATTTTTGTACCTCATTAGTTAAGGTTTTGTACCTCTAAAATTCGGGTCCCTGGTTGCGCATGAATTTTCTTTCCACCTCTAATAGTTTTTGCGTCACCCATCAACATCAGACACGTTGAGTGAAGTGCATTCACTGGAGACATGTACACATCTGCAGGCAATCTTGTAGGGTAGAATGCAGATGGTCATGTTAATCTACTCCTCGACCTTTTTTCAGTAAAATTCGGTCCCGCTGAGGTGTTGAATGTACCGAAGGAACAAAATAAAGGTTTAAGCATAAGTAACGGGGTGTATCTTCTTTCCTCGTATTTTAAGTCAGACAGTAAAGGAAACATTACAGATGGAAATCAGTCGTAATATAATCATCAGCCAACAAGCAACAAAAACTCTGAACGAGTGCCTGGAAAGTGTCAGTAGATGGACTAGTACGTTTGACAGATTAATGTGGACAAACAGAAGGTAATCTCATAGCTGCCATTACACACTGAAACAAATCCTCCTAAAGAAGCGGACTGCCTGGGAGAAACTACTCACAAGGTTGCTGATAACACCCCAACAATACTTCTTCAACTCTTCAACAATAGATTCGGCCAAGGTGATTCAGTTGAGCCTCCCCTAAAAACCTAATTTTTGTGCAGAAGAATGTAGTTCAAAAATCTGGACCACTTTTTGGGGGTAAAATGTATTGTCGTTTTTCCTTATTACTATTATTTTTTTATGTTTATCCTTTGATTTTATGGGAAGCACAGCTGGTGACCTGAGGATCGATTTTCTTTGACCAGATCACCGAGACTTCATTGTCAAAAATGGCCTCAGAAGGCAGACACGACCACACATAGGTCTTATTAAAGTCCACCACTCTGATAATCGTTCAAAAATAAATGATCGACGCCTGGTTGGAGCGTGTGGCCTACACTGAACCAATTCTCTGGTGGAATGTCTCTTGGATAACACGTACAAACATAAATTAATCACTTGTATGAATCTCAACCCAACCGAGAGAATCGATTTCAGCTGACCTGTCTCCGTTCATTCGTCTTTTTTCATTAGGTGCACTGTTTTTAGGGTATCACAAACAACCGAAAAACGACAACTTTTTCTATGACGGGTAATATCCGTGAAGCAGAGGTCGCCTTCATGTTTATTAGTAGTCCTGTATGCGACCTTTTGTGTGAAGTACAAGATACCTATCTCACTATCACTCAGACTCAATTTGACCGTATTTTCAGTTAAATGCTCAAGAACGGCTTTCAAACGTTGTGAAGGTAAGTGCGACATTCCATTTCATCTAACTGTAAGATTCGCATCCAATAAAACCTCGACTTACGGTCACCTACCTACGACACGCTTTTGTTGGCAGGTTGCTCCTTACTAAGAGGGTATCCACGCTTTAGTTGAAATTCAGTGTTCCTACCAGGTTCCTACACGATTCCTGATAGCTTGTGAAGCGGCGCTCCGTCGGTCTGCTACTAGAATAGTAACAGTGAATCCCAGAGAACCACAAATTTTCTGTGCAGCTATATCGCAGATCCTACTGAAAATTAGGTGATGTACCACTTCCAGAGTTCTCTCGAAAAATATTTAGCGAAAAAGTACGCCTAAGGTACACAAAAGTTGACTAACACTTTCAAACAGAAAAAGTGCCCAAATAAAGGCGGCGTCTTATTTTCCAACCGGAAAAAAGTTCCTCTCAAAAGAGGGATATCGGTGCTTGTGGAGAGGACTTCATTGATCCGAAAGTCTCATCACTCTCGTTTGAAGCGTCCTCTTCCTGTACAACTAAGTAAGGTTATCAAATGACTTAGTCACTTAAACTTTTTACTTGGGGATGATCCCCAATGGAAATTCTTCCACAAAATAATAAAACATAGTAATCGATCATCATGATCATCATCATCGACAGCATGACATCAGTGTTCAACACCGATGCTTCACTACTGTAATAGGAATCGACACATGCAAAGGTAAAAAAACTAGACACCAAAATAATTGTGCGAGTAGCTGAATGTATGTCCAGGCATGTGCATCTCATCCGAGAGTCAGCAAGCGCATACTAGGGGTGACTGGAGACTGAGCAGTTCCACTGTACGGTGAGGTTTTATCAAGTTTGGCTATCGTCCTCGGAACTCTGTAATTTGAATGTTCCTTTAAACATAAGATCCCAGAAACTGACAGCGAAAAATCGGTCCTCAATAGGAAACGTCAGTTGGACCCGGTCCCACTGATCACTTCTAAGTGGCCCATTATTTTGGTCCATAAGAATTCCTAGTTATATGTGACAGCTGAATGGTATTTGAATCGAAATGTTTATCTTTGGAAAAAATCCATTTGACTGGTCATCCTCGGATGTCTTAGTCAGGTATGGAAAATCGTTCACAGTAACGTTGTGAAATTAAACTCCCTGGTATGCTAAAGTCAATTACCATATTCGCTGTGGCTGGACGTTATCTACTGGCAAGAAGCTTGGATTTTATTCTTATGGTCCTCAGAACTGGTAAAAAGCTTAGACTGTTAGCATCTCAGTATTTTTGTATATTTGGACTAGCAATTGTAGTTATCAACAACGCGTAAAAGTCCCTATGACTGGTCCGAAAATCGAGTTATTCGTTTGTGACAGCGCCACTATAAGCCTCAGTGATGCCGACTACATCTCATGAAACCCGAGAAGAGCGAAGTCGGCCGTGGGTGTTTAAAGATTTTTCAGCAAACTTCTGAGTAGTGTGTTACGTCTGTGCCGAATATAATTTCATTAAATCATACAGCTTTGACTAATATTCACGGGCAGAATGATTCACAATAACTACACGGTTGGAAGGGTACGTCCCCTCCCCCCCCCAAAAAAAAAAGCGTTCGTGTCAGTTCATGTTTAGAGTAATGCAACCGCTAATTCAGAATCTCCTTAGCGATCCAAGCACTTCTCGCACTGTATAATTCTCCGAATTAGCGCGTCAAACTCGCACGAGATGAATGGAGAACTTGACCTTCTTTAAACCGAAAAACACAACCGTGATCTACCTCGAATGACTGCCCTAATGGCCTGCCAAGTTCTAATGCATAAATTCGCCCATGTGTGTTTGGATTGGGTCTCAGTCAGTTGCTCTCCCTCTGGCTACCGATCACTACAAAGATCCCGGTTTTAAAGTTAGATTGTTCAACATTGCTGTGGTTAACCTTACGTTGCTCAACTCATGAGCAGGCCGGATCAGTGTTTTCAGCTGAAAGTGACCTACTTTAACCGTTAATAGGAAATAGTAAATGAGACTAATTTAAAATTGATTATTTTACAAAGCTTTCATAAACAAATGAATGGTCCCCCCTAACAGATCAAAATGGGTACGCAATATATCATGCAGCTAGTTCGTTTGAACCAGACAGTTGAACACCCGCGCGCAGGGGGCACAGTTACCGTTGTCGGTTTCAATGTGGTGGCTGCTACCGTAAGGAGACTAGAGTCAACATGGTATTCACTGCGAAAAATACACACTAGTGAGAAGCTCTCCGGCGCATGGGACCTAGTCATGGCCTTCGTTGTCACAAGTCAGTCTCGTTGACCTCGCTGAAAACAAAAATCGACGGTGCACGGATGCTAACCGGATCAGCATCGAACTCCAAATGTTACAACTTAACATTGCGCTAGGTAACTTTCTAAAGATTGCCTTTGTTGTAAGGCGCATGAACACTCATTCATATATATTCGTACTCGGCTGAGTGACTGAACTGAGCCATGGTACCACACAGAAAAAATTCCCCGGTAAGAACCAGTCACAGTGGCTTTGCAGCGAAAGGTTTAGCTGTGTAATTCACTCGTTTGATCGTACTAGAGTTCATGCAGATGCAACACAGTGGATGAAGAACAAGGAACCAGGAGAATTTTGTTTATTGTTACAGAAGAATATCGGGAAACTTTCAGCACACTGTGTGGGTGAAATGTCCAAGTGCATGCACACACAACAGCAGTTCCAAAATATAATAGATTATCTCGTGAAGTACTTTCCACACTGGCATACTTGGATCACCCGTTCGAGAACTGCTGGATCGGAGACTGGACCTGGGTCAACCAGGTCGCTTGATTTGAATTTGACCTATCTGATCGCTCTCGAGTGACGATTGTGAGATAAGCTCCTGTTTTCATCCAACCAGCGACACCGGGTCACACCAGCTAACTTGAAATTGACGGGTCAAGCAACCTATGCATAGAATTTGTTGGTGGGTACTTGCGTGCGAGTGTCTTGCAACACCATCCACTAGGTGTCCAGATAACTGAGAGCATAACTCGGATTCTGAAGTGGGTGCACGGTGTGCATGTTCCAACCTACAACATACACGCTGAGCTCACCGCATTTTCTATCAAACCACACGTTCCTTTTATTGAATTTTGACTGGCTCCAGAAACCACTGTCTTGTGTTTTTCGTTAATACGTGCGAACACGTTTTTTGCTGAACACTGCTTTTATAATATCGATGGGGAATTCCCATTTCTATCATCAATACGGAGGCCAAAAATGCACGGTCAGATGCTCTTTAACGGTGTGCAGAGTGGAAGTGACTATATTCGTTAACAAAACCTGGTTTGAAGGCCATCATTCTGAAGGTAACATTTAGATCATTGACCTGTCTGTCGTCAGAGGAAATTATGGCAGACGCGTAAAACTCCCTTCCCTGTTCCCTAATTTGGCGCAGCTCCAGTTCCCCACGTATTCGCAACAAGATATGCACTTTAACTGTAGGTTATGATCTTTGTCCCGTACGAACCTGAGCAGTTAGCGGTTTGGGCTGTCTCTCCGGAACGGATCGCTGTGACAGTGGAAGACTTCTTTATGAGTCTTCCGACTTATCTGCGGCATGGCTGCATTCCTAGTTGTAAAGAGAGTTTTGAAGAGATCCATTGATTTCTGGATTAATTTAAAATTTAAAAATTTAAATTTAAATTTAAATTTTTAAGTTAAAATTTTTGCAGAAAGGATCTTTCGAACGTAGACAGAGAGCTGAAAGCGTGAGTGATCAGTCGGAGTAAGTCATTTTTAAATTTTTTAAATTTTAACTTTAAAAATTTAAATTTAAATTTAAATTTTTAAAGTTAAAATTTAAAAAATTTAAAAATGACTTACTCCGACTGATCACTCACGCTTTCAGCTCTCTGTCTACGTTCGAAAGATCCTTTCTGCAAACGTGAGTAATGCATTTCCTCCCGGGGAACTTATTTATTCTTGTAAAAACCCAATCCAATAAATACTATTTATGGCACTTTTTTCAGGCAACCTTATAGAAACACATTTAGTCTACCATTGTGCTTAGAAGTCATTCGTTTTTAAGAATACACAATCTCACTCGGCCAGTGTGGTTAATATGAGATAGATTTTCAAAAGTAGATAGGTACTCACCTCTTGAGAGGAAGCATCTCCGTTGAGGATAATATTTTGATGGCACGGGTTTTCTCGTTGATATATTCTTCAAGAAGATAAACCCCACAATCAAAAAGCCCTACTGGCTAGTTCATCAGCTGGAAGACTTACCTCTCAGAGGGAAACATTGCAACCTCATTGGAAATGAATGAACCTATGAGCTGTCATGTCAAAAGGCAGATGTTGCTGATACACTGCCCTGCCAAATTGGTGACCAATCCTTACTTGGGCTTATCTTAACACGTAAAGAAATGTGTATTTGTAGTATCGGTCAAGATATACCACAATTACTATGCGCAATTGTGGATAATGGAACTGATTGGTAGGATGAATCATGGGATGGTTACTCAAAATTCATAGTAAATGACGAGTTATTCGCTGTAATACACTGCTTGTACTCCTTTCCGAATCCGGTATGAACAAGGAAAGTAGGATGTTTAGAACTGGTCATTTCTGGTTAGCATCATACTTAGAAATGTGACAATGTGACCCAACATCATTTATGGATAGTCTGTTAATCCTGTGGTCTCTTCATTAACGTGAAGGACACCATTGGTCAAGCACCTCAGGTTTGCGAAATTTGCTAAGACGAGTAGAAGTTTTCACATAAGTATAGTACTACCTGATGGACCATGGTCATATAGACGCCAATTCCTTTTCTGAGCTTTCAAAGGGACACTCCAACCTCATAAGGATTCTTCTGGCCTCATCACCTCTGATGTACAACCTTTCTGTTTTGTTGCTTGCTAATGGTTTTTCGATCACAGCCAACCTTGTGGGTTGAACAGTGAGTGTCGACAACCATTCAGATCACAGTATGAGGATCAATGTACATTGGCGTATCTAAATTACGCTCCACCGAT